CTACCTGTCCTCCGTGGGCTACCTGGGCACACTGGGCTACCTGTCCTCCCTGGGCTCCTTGGGCTACCTGGGCTACCTGGGCTTGCTCAGACATGGACACCCACCCCTCAGCCCCCCTAGCTCTGCACTGGGACCCACTGGGGCTGCCAAACACCAGGGCTGGGGCTGGACCCGGACACTGGTCCAGGTTGCCCCGAGGAGCTGTGGCTGCCCCATCCCTGGAGGTGTTCAAGGCCAGGTTGGACGGGGCTTGGGGCAACCTGGGCTGGGGGGAGGTGGCCCTGCCCAGGGCAGGGGGGTTGGAACGAGATGATCTTTAAGGTCCCTTCCAACCCAAATCCTCCCTGAGCCCCCGTGGGCCAGCAGAGCCCGCTCCGTGGCCACCACCATAGAAGAATTCCCGGTGGAGGAACCGGGCTGGGGGCGATGTCGGTGGGATCGAGCCCCAACACCCGCCTCACCCCCACAGCTTCTTCCCCAACCGCCTGCAGCCTCCCCTCCCCCTCCCCCTCCTCCTCCTCCTCCTTTTCCTCCTCTTCCTCCTCCTTCTCCTCCCCGTCTTCCTCCTCCTCCTTCTCCTCCTCCTCCTCCCCATCTTCCTCCTCCTCCTTCTCCTCCTCCTTCTTCTCCTTCACCTCCTCCTCCTTCTCCTCCTCCTTCTTCTCCTTCTCCTCCTCCTCCTTCTTCACCTCCTCCTACTCCTCCTTCTCCTCCTTCTTTTCCTCCTCTTCCCCCTCCTCCTCCTTCTCCTTCACCTCCACAGCCCCGCACACGCGTCCCCAGCTGTGCGCGCACACGTGAGCACGCATCCCGTCGCGCACATGTATGTGCACACACAGCCCTGCACACGCATCCCCAGTCGTGCACATGTATGTGCACACACGCCCCTGCACACGCATCCCCAGTCGTGCACATGTATGTGCACACACGCCCCTGCACACGCATCCCCAGTCGTGCACATGTATGTGAACACACAGCCCTGCACACGCATCCCCAGCCATGAACACGCTTCCCCAGCCACACACACACATGTGCACACACAGCCCTGCACACGCATCCCCAGCTGTGCACATGTATGTGCACACACAGCCCTGCACACGCATCCCCAGCCATGAACACACACGCGTACACACGGAGCCCTCCACACACATCCCCAACCACGCACACATATGTGCACACACAGCCCTGCACACACATTCCCAGCCATGAACACGCATCCCCAGCCACACACACACATGTGCACACACAGCCCTGCACACGCATCCCCAGTCGTGTACAGGTATGTGGACACACGCCCCTGCACACACATCCTCAGCCATGCACATGTATGTGCACACACAGCCCTGCACACGCATCACCAGTCGTGTACATATATGTGCACACACAGCCCTGCACACGCATCACCAGTCGTGTACATATATGTGCACACACAGCCCTGCACACGCATCACCAGTCGTGTACATATATGTGCACACACAGCCCTGCACACGCATCACCAGTCGTGTACATATATGTGCACACACAGCCCTGCACACGCATCACCAGTCGTGTACATATATGTGCACACACAGCCCTGCACACGCATCACCAGTCGTGTACATATATGTGCACACACAGCCCTGCACACGCATCACCAGTCGTGTACATATATGTGCACACACAGCCCTGCACACGCATCACCAGTCGTGTACATATATGTGCACACACAGCCCTGCACACGCATCCCCAGCCATGAACACACACGCGTACACACGGAGCCCTCCACACACATCCCCAACCACGCACACATATGTGCACACACAGCCCTGCACACACATTCCCAGCCATGAACACGCATCCCCAGAGCCACACACACATGTGCACACACAGCCCTGCACACGCATCCCCAGCTGTGCACATGTATGTGCACACACAGCCCTGCACACGCATCCCCAGCCATGAACACACACGCGTACACACGGAGCCCTCCACACACATCCCCAACCACGCACACATATGTGCACACACAGCCCTGCACACGCATCCCCAGCCATGAACACGCATCCCCAGCCACACACACACATGTGCACACACAGCCCTGCACACGCATCCCCAGTCGTGTCCAGGAATGTGGACACACGCCCCTGCACACACATCCTCAGCCATGCACATGTATGTGCACACACAGCCCTGCACACGCATCACCAGTCGTGTACATATATGTGCACACACAGCCCTGCACACGCATCCCCAGCAATGCACACACGTGCACACACACCCCTGCACACACATCCCCAGCCGTGCACATGTCTGTGAACACACACAGCCCTGCACACACATCCACAGCTGTGCGCACACGCCTGCACACGTGTCCCCAGCCGGGCACACACACATGCACGTGCATCCCTGGCTGTGCACACCCACCTGCACACACACCTCTGCACACACATCCCCAGCCATGCACAGACCCCCCGGTCCTGCACACACATGTACACACACATCCTTACACACGCATCCCCTGCCCTGCACACACATGTGAACACAGATCCCCACCCATGCACATGTATGTGAACACATGGCCGTGCACACGCATCCCCAGCTGGGCACACACACCCCTGCACACACATCCCCATCCATGCACACACGTGCACACACACCTGCACGTGCATCCCCAGCCGTGCACACACACATGCACTCACACCCCTGCACACGTGTCCCCAGCTGTGCACACACATGTGCACACACAGCCCTGCACACACATCCCCAGCCATGCACATGTATGTGGACACACGCCCCTGCACACGCATCCCCAGTTGTGCACACATATGTGCACACACAGCCCTGCACACGCATCCCCCGTCATGCACATGTATGTGGACACACACCCCTGCACACACATCCCCAGTTGTGCACATGTATGTGGACACACAGCCCGGCACATGCATCCCAAGTTGTGCACACATATGTGCACACAGAGCCCTGCACACCCATCCCCAGCCATGCACACACATGTGCACACACAGCCCTGCACACCCATCCCCAGCTGTGCACACACACATGTACACACACCCCTGCACACGTGTCCCCAGCCGTGCACACACATTTACACACACAGCCCTGCACACACATCCTCAGCCATTCACATGTGTGTGAGCACACACCCCTGCACATGCATCCCCAGTCGTGCACACACACACGCACACACACCCCTGCACATCACACACAGCCCTGCACACACATCCTCAGCCATTCACATGTATGTGAGCACACACCCCTGCACACGCATCCCCAGCCGTGCACACACACATGCGCACACACGCATGCCCACACACTCCTGCACACGCATCCCCAGCCGTGCACATGTATGTGAGCACATGCCCCTGCACACGCATCCCCAGCCGTGCACATGTATGTGAGCACACACCCCTGCACACGCATCCCCAGCCGTGCACACACACATGCGCACACACTCCTGCACATGTGTCCCCAGCTGTGCACACACATGTGCACACACAGCCTTGCACACACATCCTCAGCCATTCACATGTATGTGAGCACACACCCCTGCACACGCATCCCCAGCCGTGCACACACACATGCGCACACACGCATGCCCACACACTCCTGCACACGCATCCCCAGCCGTGCACATGTATGTGAGCACATGCCCCTGCACACGCATCCCCAGCCGTGCACACACA